ATGAGAACATAAGACAAGCCACCATTGGATCAGGCCAGTGGCTCCTCCAGTCCAACACTCTGTGTCACACAGTGGCCAAAAACACCAGGGGCCATCAGGAGGTCCAGCAGTGGGGCCAGGATACTAGAAGCCCTCCCACTCTTGCCCCGCCCCCAAGCACCAAGAACACAGAGCATCCCTTGCCCCAGACCGAGAGTTCCTATCTGAGCTTTCATGTGCATGCACACTTTTTCAAATACACTGGGACGGTAGGCAATGTTCCCTCTAAGCTGTGAAGACTTGTGAGCAAAAATTCTACCATGTGAGCTACTGGCATTAAAGTTGTGAGCGAGCGATTTGGCTGCTGCGTAAATCAATTTGCTCTGGAGCCCTCCTTCCCAAGTGACGGCAAAACGGTGTGAGCTGGAGGATAAAAAACTGTGAGCTCGCTCACACTCACTCAGCTTAGAGGGAACACTGATGGTAAGGTTCAAACTTATAGACAGGTGGTTGAACAGCAGATTAACATGTAACATGATGCAGATGTGCAAAGACAATACTTGATAACAAGCTAAGGTTATATAAGTTAAATCGAAAGTTATAAGGTTGACAGTTGCAAAGCGGCACACATGTCAAAATAGCAGATAAATGTGTAAAGGTATATTTTCTGATTTTAATGGTGGGAAGTAAACTGTTCAGCCCTTGTCTGTAAGTCTGAACCTTACCTACCATTCCAATGTATTTGACAAAGTGTGCCTTGCTCACGGAAGCTCGTACCTTGAATAAACCTTTGTCGGTCTTAAAGGTGCCGCTGGACTCTAAATTCGTTCTACTGCTTTAGGCCAACATGGCTGACCCACCTGGATCTACCTAGTGCCAAGGTTACGCCTAGAGATGTGAAGGCCCGAAAAAAACCGGAAAAATTCTGGGGGGAAATTGTCCCCCCCCCCCGTTTTTTTCCTGAAGCCTTTTTTTTTTTTTTTTTTTCCGAAAAATTGGAAAAATTGAAAAAAGAAAAGAAAAGGGGAAAAATTGATTACGGAACATTTTATTTTAACATGATGAATAAAATATTTTAAGACAAGGTGTTCAAATATTGTCCAAATCATTTTTAAAAAATAGGTATGGTATCAGATTGATCTAATTTCTGTGCACTGAGGACAAGCAAGTCCTCTGTTACAAACTGAACTCTCCAATGCAAGAAGAAGATGCATTTCTTCCTTTAGGAGGTGCTATTGTCACAAGAAAAGAAAAAGGCTTCAGTTTTGTTTTTGCTTGCGGGTGGGTATTCTGTTTGTAATAATTGTTTGGATACGCTATATTTTTAATATGCTAGTTGTGATCATTTCATGCCAAGTAAAAATGTCCATAGTCATATTTTATGTTCCTAAAGTAACAGAATGACTTTCAATCTGGAAAAGAAAAAAGAAGTGAAAATTTCCGTTTACCCCCGGAAAAAACTCCCAGGTTTTTTCCCGAGCTTCAAAATTTCCGGAAATTTTACATCTTTAGTTACTTTCAATCTAGTTACTTCCAATTACTTTCAATCTGGAAAAGAAAAATAAGTGCTAAGGTGGCTTTTTCCCCCCCAGTTTTTCTGAAAATTTCCATTTTCCCCCGGAAAAAACTCCCAGGTTTTTTTCCGAGCTTCAAAATTTCTGGAAATTTTGCATCTCTAGTTACGCCGCCTTCTGAGATCAGGCAATCTTTCCCCACTGATCCACGCCACACGAACCTCATGACGAGACCTGGTCCTCCCCAAATAACACTCTCTCCAGGCTCTGTCCCCCCGATCTCCAGGAATTTCTCAACCCAGACTTGGCAACCTCATTTCCTGGGCCAGCCAAGGAGCAGAGCGAAGGCCTGGAGCCATGCCGGTGGTGTTGCCAGCTCTGGGTTGGGAGATTCCTGGAGATTTGGGGGGGGCAGAACCTGGGGAGGCAGGGTTTTGAAGAGGACGGACCTCAGCGGGGTATAATGCCACAGGGCCTCCCCTCTCCAAAACTGCCAGCGTTTCATCTGCCATCCAGCCCCGTATGGAGAACATCCAAGCTAGATCAGCCCCCGCCCCATACCTGTAATTGAGGGCTGGGTGCTTTGTGTCGGAGGCTGCGATTTCTGGGGGTCTTTTGGGCACCACATTTTAGGAAGGATGTTGACAAGCTCGAGCATGTCCAGAAGAGGGCAACCAGGATGGTGAGAGGGTTGGAATCCAAGGTTTAGGAGGAAAGGCTGAAAGAGTTGGGTCTGTTTAGCCTGGGAAAGAGAAGACTTAGAGGGGACATGATTGCAGGCTTCAAGTATCTGAAGGGCTGTCATATAGAAGATGAAGCAGGTCTATTCTCTCTTGCTCCGGAATGCAAGACTAGATCTAATGGGTGGAAATGACAAGGGAGTCGATACCGGCTAAACATCAGGAGAAACTTCCTAACTGTCAGAGTAGTTGAGCAGTGGAACAGACTGCCTCGGGAGGTGGTGGGTGCTCCTTCACTGGATGTTTTCAAGGGGAGGCTGGACGACCCTCTTTCGGGTATGTTGTAGGGCTCTCTTTCGGCTATGCTCCTGCAGAGTGCAGGGGGTTGGACTAGATGACCTGCAAGGTCCCTTCCAACTCTAACATTCTATGACTCTATGATTCCCTGAAAGACGCCACTGGCCGCCGCCTCCTCCGTAGGGCTGATTTGCCAAGCGCCGGGACGTCCTGTCCACCGACCATTAGCTAATGGGGCAGAGTGCCGCTTCACATCCACTCTGCACAATATTGTTAAGTGTTCCCCCCCCTCAGGGATGGAGGGGGGGGTCCCCGCCTCTGCCAGGAGAAGCCGCAGGCAGAGGTCGGCATGACTTTGCGGGCCATGCGCCGTGCCAAGATGTGCTCTGTTTTTCCAGGGAGCGCATAATCCCTTCCCGAAGGTGAAGAAGCCCTCGGCAGGCAGGGATGAAGGGGGGAGGGTCTATTTAGGAGAGGCTCAGAATAGGGTTGCCAACCTCCAGGCGGGGGCTGGACGCCTGGAACGACAACTGATCTCCAGGCGGCAGAGATTGGCTCCCCTGGAGAAAATGGCTGCTATGGAAGGCGGACTCTAGGGCATGGTACCCCACTGAGGTCCCGCCCTCCCCAAACCCCGTCCTCCCCGGGCTCCAACCTCTAAATCTCCTGGAATTTCTCAACCTAGACCTGGCAGTCCTATGGGAGAGGGAACTGCGATCAAGGAAATTCCCCCCTCCCTCCTGGGCAGTATGGTATCATTTGAACCCATAGGTCTCAAAATACAAGGCAGCCCCCTGGTGGTGGGGGGGGGGGGAAAGACAGACTGCCAGCCCAGTGTTATGTACTCGGACCGCCACCAGGGGTCCGCGGCTAAAGCAGGCGCTTGGTCCCCAAACACAAAGGGGACCTCGGATCCTAGTCCACCTACAGTCCACCAATAGCACCCTTGGCGGGAGATTCAAACCCTCCAATCGGGAAAGAGGTGTGCCGGGTGGAGTGTATATCATTTGCCTTGCAGGGCCGTTTCCCCATGTCTGGTGTGAAGTACGATAAACGCGTCTGAACGCATGTCGTAGTCCGAGTTCTCCATGCGTCGAACCCAGTACTTTTCACCCAGTTTGGGGCACCACAACTGAAGAAGGATCTAGACAAGCCGGGATGTGTCCCGAGGAGGGCGACGAAGACGGCGAGGGGACTCTGGAGACCAAGTCCTGTGAGGAAAGGTTGAAGGAGATGGGTGTGTTTAGCCTGGAGAGGAGACGACTGAGAGGTGATAGGATAGCCGTCTTCAAGCACTTGAAGGGCTGTCCTATAGAGGATGGTGCGGAGTTGTTTTCTGTTGCCCCAGAAGGTCGGACCAGAACCAACGGGTTGAAATGAAATCAGAAGAGTTTCCGGCGAAACGTTAGGAGGAAGTTCCTGACAGTTAAGAGCGGTTCCTCAGTGGAACAGGTTTCCTCGGGACGTGGTGGGCTCTCCTCCGTTGGAGGTTTTTAAGCAGAGGCCAGATGGCCACCTGACAGCGATGCGGATTCTGTGAACTTGGGCAGATCATGAGAAGGGAGGGCAGGAAGGGTTGCCTCAAGGCTTAGTTCTCGTGGCCCTTTCTGACATGCCCAGGGAAATCAGGAAGCAATTTTTCTCCAGGCCAGTTTGGTTGGAGATCCTGGAGGTTTTTTGTCATCTTCTGGGCATGGAGCAGGAGTCACTGGGAGTGTGGAGGGGGAGGCGTTTGTGAATTCCCTGCATTGTGCATGGGGTTGGACTAGATGACCCTGGAGGTCCCTTCCAACTCTATGATTCTATGAGGGAAATTGCAAGGAAATACAATAATGAAGGGAAGGCAGCTATTGGGGGATGGGGGACGCAAAGCTCAGTTCTCAGGCATATTTTTATAGCAAGGGCTCTGCTATGGAATATGTGAAAAAAAAAATATTAGTGAGCCTGGTTGTGCCTCTGAGCATGTACAGAGAGTTTGCTCATTATATAGACCGAGTGTAGCACATAGCTCCTCAGGGCTAGACCAACCGGACTGTTCAAGGTCAAATAGAGAGCCAGTGAGGTGGGTGTAGCGGTTAAGAGCATTGGACAAGTATCTAGGAGACACGGGTTCGAATATCTGCTCATGCCATGGAAGCATACACTCTCGGGCTGGCCTACCTCACAGGGTGGTTGTGATGATAAAATGCAGGAGAGGAGAAGGATGTAAACTGCTTTGGGTCATCATTGGTGGAAAAGGCAGGAGATATAAATATATAAAGGAAGCAAAACTCTGTGTGTGTGTGTAAAGTAAGCAAAAGAAAATACCAGCGACCCAAAGAATACTATTCAGCCACAGAGAAGACTAGCTTGACACCATTCGAAACAATGATGTTAACCTTTTGTGCCACTCGCACTCAGCGTCAAGGCGGTCAGAATGTCGGAGGCCGGAATCGACCCTGAGTTCCAAACCGTGGATATGCAGGAGGAGCCCGAGGAGACGGGCAGAGAGAAATCCAATGCTGGGAACGCGGAAGGAACCCCACCAGACGCAGCTGCGGCCTCAACTCCCAAGGGGTCTCTCTACCCACGGCCTCGTGCTGACCAACACGACGTGAGGAGGTATTTTGTCACCAGGGTAAGTCAATAAAATGGAGCGGGGTGGACGGGACCAGTTGAGTTTGCAAAGGGGGATCTGGGGGGGGGGATGCAACTGGGCCGCTCGGCTGGCTTCGGCCTAGCACGTAGGCATTGCCAGGTCTGGGTTGGAAAATACTTGGAGACTTTGGGCGTGGATCCAGGAAAGGGCAGGGTTTGAGGAGGGGCCCCAGCACAGCACCAGGCCACAGAGTCCACCCTTCAAAGCAGCCATTGTCTCCCGGGGAGCTGATCTCTGTCAGCTGGAGATGGGTTGTAAAAGTGGGAGATCTCCAGGCCCCGCCTGGAGGGTGGCAGCCCTACTAGCGTGGTCTCCAGGTTGATTTGTCCCAGAAGCGCCGATACCTGTGCACTCCCCACACGTCTCTTGTATGCAGGGCTTTTTAAAGCCTGATCTTGTCCGATCTCGGAAGCTAAGCAGGGTCGGCCCTGGTTAGTACTTGGATGGGAGACCCCCCAAGAAGTCCAGAGTCACTATTGTTGTACGCACCGCTTGTGAAACACTTTGTACTCTGCCACTGACTAACAGTCTAACTTAGTAGGTGCTCTTAACACTTCCATGGGGCACACGTCAAGTGCTTTTGATGATTCTAATCGCAGTAACTGAAATCAATCATGAACATATATTCAGATATTCACTTTGGTTCACTGCTTAAATGCATTCTGGGTAAAATACGGCTTGTGGCCTTGCTCGTTCTTGCCAACTACAACTGTGCACATTCCTGATGTCATTTAGCCTACGTTAGATGAAGAACACACACCACTATGTGCCCGTATCTGCTACATTAGATACTTTTAGAATTTCATAGCCTGGGAAGAAGAAGGCCCATTGTTCAACTGAAGGAGGTATATGTTTGCCTGAGAAAATCCAACCCGCAGGTTGGAGCCCAATCAGAATGGTGTGACGGATATATGACAAAGTTTGATGGAACTGATAATTACGATTTATTTCTAACTGTCATGGGGGGTATAAAAGTTTATGTCTCCCATTGTAACCTTAGGGAAGAGCTGTGGGTACCTGAGGATTCAAAACCTTGTCGTGCCTGTATTTTCCCTCCTTTATTAATAACGTTTTTTTTAGCCTGGATTCTCCTCTACAAGACTGCCCAGTGCTTTCTCAAGTCTCCTAGTGCCCCACTGCTGGACCTCCTGATGGTCCCTGGTATTTTTGACCAGTGTGTCACACAGAGTGTTGGACTGGCTGGGCCATTGGTCTGATCCAACACGGGCTTCTCTCGTGTTCTTATGTTCTTATAAATAACTCTGAGGTAAAACCAGTGCATGCCCAGACTTTAGTTCTTACGTTTCAGGCTGATGAGAGTTTCTTAAGTTATTCAGAGTTACTTAACATCTTTACGTTGAGAGCCTTTTGCTCCGGTGTTTCCCAAACACTCGAGCATGCTTTCTTTGAGCATTCTTTGACTCTTTGGGTTTCAAGAACGCTGGTGCCGTCTTTTCAGTACCCTAACCCCCTCATCTTGAAGCCCCAGTACTTGACTTGAGTTGTTAACTGACTCTTACGGTCTCCAAAGGCAGTTTCGAACCACACCAGACCAGGAATCTCTGCACTGCACTGTCAAGGACGGGCGAGTGGGCGTCAACATGGCAAATGGGGTTCAATGTGGCCAAGTGCAAGGTGATGCACATTGGAGCCAAAAATCCTAAATATAAATACACATTGATGGGGTCTGAACTGGCAGAGACTGAGCAAGAGAGAGATCTTGGAGTTGTAGTGGATAACTCACTGAAAATGTCGAGACAGTGTGTGACTGCAATAAAGAAGGCCAATGCTATGCTGGGGATTATTAGGAAGGGTATTGAAAACAGATCAGCCAATATCATAATGCCCCTATATAAATCAATGGTAAGACCTCATTTGGAATACTGTGTGCAATTCTGGTCACCACACCTTAAAAAGGATATTATAGCTTTGGAAAAAGTGCAGAAAAGGGCAACTCGAATGATAAAAGGGTTGGAACACTTTCCCTATGAGGAAAGGTTAAAGCGCTTAGGGCTCTTTAGCTTGGAGAAAAGACGACTGAGGGGTGACATGATCGAGGTTTATAAGATTATGCATGGGAAAGAGCAGGTAAAGAAAGAGGTACTTTTCTCCCTTTCTCACAATACAAGAACTCGTGGGCACTCCATGAAACTGCAGAGCGGTCGGGTTAGAACGGATAAAAGGAAGTACTTCTTCACCCAAAGAGTGATTAACACATGGAATTCACTGCCACAGGAAGTGGTGGGTGCTACAAGCATGGACGGCTTCAAAAGGGAATTAGATAAGCATATGGAGCAGAGGTCCATCAGTGGCTATTAGCCACAAGGTATAGATAGGGGCTCTGGGGCAAGTGATGCTCTGTCTTCTTGGTGCTTGGGGGGGTCAACAGTGGGAGGGCTTCTAATGTCCTGGCCCCACTGCTGGACCTCCTGATGGCACTGGTATTTCTGGCCACTGTGTGACACAGAGTGTTGGACGATGGGCCTTTGGCCTGATCCAACATTGGCGTCTCTTATGTTCTTATGTTCACTCTTCAGAGCTATCACTCTAACTGGGTAGGGAAATTCTCCTCTCACTAGAAGAGCGATCCCCTTTCTTTGGCCCGAATGGGAGTCTTCTCCTGCTGCCCAAACTTCCTTGCCAACTTTCCCCCAGTTCTCCTGTCTGTATTAAACTGTTCTCAGTCAAGGCGGAAATCCGACTGCCTGTCTCCTCCTCAGTAGGTGGCTCTACAGTCTTTCTGGGCTCAGCTGGAGCAGCCTGTCACTCAAGGCTCTCTGCTTCTGTGAAGGATTAACCCCTCACAGTCCTCCAGCTGTTTGTACAGCGCTTCTAAGCTTTTAAAAAGCACGGTCCTTGCAAAGCGTTTCAAATCAGCTCCCCTTCGGATTACTTATTCTGCTGGCCAGGCTCGAAAGCCAAGTGATCGGAAATTGGGATTCTGACACTGGAGGACATGGATAGACTCTGCTTCCCACATGCTGGACCCAAACAAGAGGTGATGCCCAGTCTCCAAAAGGAAGGGTTTTTTCAAGGGCATTTTCTTGGCTGTAGCTGGGGACAGAGTGATGGATGGAGGATGTACACTTTGCTTCATCCGTCATAGGCAATTCTTATGTTCGTTAATTAAATGCGGGCCTCTCCGGCCATTTCTGGCTCCTTCCCGCTGTTCTGGAACATGAGACTGTCCTTACAAGCAGACTGTACTTATCGGAGAGGCAGGGACTTGTGGGGCTGGGGGTCTTGTATAGGGAGCCAGTTTGGGGGTAATGGTTAAGAGTGCGGACTGCGGACTCTAAGCTGGGAGAACCGGGTTTGATTCCCCACTCCTTCACATGCAGCTGCTGGAGTGACCTTGGGCAAGCCACAGTTCTCTCAGAGCTGTTCTCTCAGGAGCAGTTCCGGAAAGAGCTCTCTCAGCCCCGCCTACCTCCCAGGGTGTCTGTTGTGGGGAGGGGAAGGGAAGGAGATTGTCAGCTGCTCTGAGACTCTGAGTGAAGGGCGGGGTATAAATCCTACTACTACTACTACTCCTTCTCCTCCTCTTCCTCTTCTTTCCCAGTCTGCCATCTCGGTCACAAATTCCTGATAAAGGGCTGGTTCCAGTACAAAGTAAACTAAAACTAGTGGATGGGTAACAGCTGTGGCAGGGTAGGAGCAAGGTTGGCATCTCCAGGTTGTAGAGCTGGCAACTGCCAGGTGGGGCCAGGTAGGGTTGCCAAGTCTGAATTGAGAAATTCCTGGGGATTTAGGGGCGGAACATGGTTAGAGTTGGATTTGGAGAGGGAAGAGACCTCGACAAAGGTATGATTTGCCTAGAGTTCATGGTGGGCTTAGAGTTCACCCCCCCCCAAAGCTGCCGGTTCCTCTAGGGCAAGTGATCTCTGTGATCAGGAGACCAGTTGGAATTCTGGGAGATGAGAACATAAGAGAAGCCATGTTGGATCAGGCCAATGGCACGTCCCAGTCCAACACATCCAGTAGCACTCACACTGAGTGGCCAAAACCCAAAGGCCACCAGGAGGTCCACTAGAGCCAGTTTGGTGTAGGAGTTATAAATCTCTTCTTCTTCTTCTTCTTCTTCTTCTTCTTCTTCTTCTTCTTCTTCTTCTTCTTCTTCTTCTTCTTCTTCTTCTTCTTCTTCTTCTTCTTCTTCGTCTTCTTCTTCTTCTTCTTCTTCTTCGTCTTCTTCTTCGTCTTCTTCTTCTTTGTCTTCCTCTTCCTCTTCTTTGGAGATGCTGGGGATTGAACCTGGGACTTTCTTCATGCCAAGTAGATGCTCTTATCACTGAGCCACAGCCCCTTGTTTAACTCTTAAGCTGCTGGAAACACAGGAGGAGGTGACAAGTATAGCTTGCTGCCTGTCAGTTAACACGTTTAATTGCTGGATTGCACAATGGAATTCTCTTCTTCGTCTTCTTCGTCTTCGTCTTCTTCTTCGTCTTCTTCTTCGTCTTCTTTGTCTTCGTCTTCGTCTTCTTCGTCTTCTTCTTCCAGTGCCATAGAGTCCACCCTCCAAAGCAGCCGTTTTCTCCATGGCAACTGATCTCTGTCACCTGGACATCATTTGTAATTCCAAGAGATCGCCAGGCCCTACCTGAGAGCCAGTTTGGTGCAGTGGTTAAGCGCGTGGACTCTAATCTGGGAGAACCGGGTTTGATTCCCCACTCCCCCCACCCACCTGCAGCTGCTGGATGACCTTGGGCAAGCCACAGTTCTGTCAGAGCTGTTCTCTCAGGGGCAGTTCTCTCAGAGCTCTCTCAGCCCCGCCTACCTCACAGGGTGTCTGTTGTGGGGAGGGGAAGGGAAAGGAGTTTGTAAGCCCCTCTGAGACTCTGAGTGAAGGGCATGGGGTATAAATCCTTCTCTTCTTCTTCTCTACCTGGAGTCTCACAACCCTAAGAGTGTGCGGTTTGGCCACGTGTGGAACATTGGACTGGGACTGGTGACCAGGAATTGTGTGGGGAAGATTCAGCTGCTGAATGACAAAACATGGGCCCAGAAGGTGGTGCGCTGTCACACAGTGTTCAAATGTCGTTGTCTCACATCCCCCTTTTTCATTTATTCAGCCAGGAGCTTTTGACCAAGCTGTGGAGGACTTGAAGGCCCACGTGGTGGAGACCATGGGAGAAACCGCTCACAGCTTCTGGCTTCTCACAGAGTAAGTCCCAGTGTGTGTGTGTGGGGGGGGGAGGGCGATTCTTACACTTTCCCCCTAGAACAGCCTTGAGAACTTCTGTTCCCTCCATTTTGCCCACCACCTTGTCTGAACGTTGGTGGCGCGGCAGTAGAAGTCGATGGCCCAGTGGTCTCCAGCTTCCTGCTTGATCGTTGGCCGTCTCCCTCTCCCATGGGCACTGCTGACCAGATGGCCAGTTTGGAAACCTTGACATTCTTGCATGGGTTCAGGGTTCAGGTGGGCAGCCATTAGAGTTGCCAACCTCCAGGTGCTGGCTGGAGATCTCCTGGAATTGCGACTGATCTCCAGGTAAGAGACCCTCACTGGTCTGATCCAGCAGGGCTCTTATGAAGTTCTCATGAAGGCCTCGGCCTCTCTGCCCTGTTGTTGGCTCTGCAGCGGAACTGGCTGGCCGCTGTGTTAGACGGGATGCTGGTCTAGATGGACCCTCACTGGTCTGATCCAGCAGGGCTCTTATGAAGTTCTCATGAATGCCTCGGCCTCTCTGTCCTGTTGTTGGCCCTCCAGAGGGTCGGGTTGGCCACTGTGTTAGACGGGATGCTGGTCTAGATGGACCCCTGGTCTGATCCAGCAAGGCTGTTCTGATGTTTTTATGATATAGCCTGATCTCGTCAGATCTCAGAAGCCAAGCAGGGCCAGTACTTGGACGGGAGAGCACCAAGGGAGGCGATGGCCCAACACCTCTGCTTCTCACTTGCTTTGGAAGCCCCTTGGCTGGGGTCACTCTACAGAGAGGAGGCGGCTGAGTGGGGTCCACAGAACATTGAACCACTCAGGTCTCTTGAAGCCCAGCGGAGCTCCGGGTTGGTGTGTAGATGCTGTTTTGGCGTTCTTCTCTCCCTCGTCCCGGGGGTTTGGCTGTGCCATTGCTTTGGGGGCTTCAAAGGTTGCCATCGCTGAGCTGGGAAGTTCCTAGAGGTTTGGGGGTGGGACCCGGGGAGGGCAGGGTTTGGGAAGGGGAGGGCTCTCAGCCGGGTAAAACGCGAGAGACTAGAGTCTACCCTCTAAAGCAGTTGTTTTCTCCCGGAGAAAGGGCTGCAAGAACCAAGCACTGAGGCAACCTGCCCTCCTTCTCACGATCTGCCTAAGTTCACAGAATCAGCATTGCTGCCAGATGACTCGTTGCTAGATCCAGATCGGGAAACGTCTGGATATTTTTTTGGGGGGGTGAGGTGAACCTAGAAAGGACAGGATCCTCATTGGGGTACAATGCCATAGAGTCCACTCTCCAAAGTATCAATTTTATCCAGTGTTATGTATTGAGCCTAAGCCTTTCTTCTGACTGTACCTAGAACGGGTTGAGCTTGCTTCACTAGAACAATAGCTCGCCTGGATCCAGGAACTAACCAATAGATAAGCGGTGTAATGTAAATAGCCTATCACTGGGAGTGTGTGTGTGTTGGGTGTGGTGTTTGCAGGCTTTATAAGCAGGGCTCCAGCCCTGCTAGCTTGTCTGGTAGTTTGCTGAAATCACATTATTGAACCTGACCTGATCACTGCGATGCGTCTAGAGCCCAGTATTTAACTCAGGGAAACTGATCTCTAGTCTGGAGATGAGCTGGCATTCCAGGGGATCCCCAGGTCCCACCTGGAGGCTGGCATCCCTATGATCCAAGCACTAACCAGGGCTGACCCTGCGTCACTTCTGAGAGCTGACGAATCGGGGCGAGCGAGCCTGCGATCATGCTGGTCAGAGCAAAAGACATATGGAGGTGGTTTGCCATTGCCTGCCTCTGCGTCACAAACCTGTGGCTCCTGAGCAATGCTCCCTCTAAGCTGTGGAGTCTTGTGAGCAAAAATTCTACTTTGTGAGCTCCTGGCATTAAAGTTGTGAGCGAGCCATTTGGCTGCTGCATCAGTTAGTTTGCTCTGGAGCCATCCCTCCTGAGCTAAGGCAAAAATGTGTGAGCCGGAGGCTAAAAAACTGTGCGCTAGCTCACACTAACTCAGCTTAGAAGGAACACTGTATCCTGGGTGGTCTCCCATCTAAACACTAACCGGGGCCGACCCTGCTTAGCTTCCTGGACCTGAGAGGATCTCCCTTACCATTTCACCGTGAACTCTCAGTACTGCCATCTAGTGGCCACAAAGCAAACTCCTTGGTAGAAATTCAGGCAGGTGATTTTGCTACAGCCGTGCAGATAACTGGGATTTGGGTAGGATGAATGCTTAGGGGGTGGCGCCCATTTAGACCGTGTGCATGAGGGAGCAACGTGTGGGCTGCTTCCACGCTCCCAATGCTCCCCTTCCCGGCTACTTCCTTCCCTCTCATCCACACCGGCTTATATGCACATGGTGAGCTTGAAAGGTACTCCCCACCAGGGGTCATTTCCTGCGGGAGTGCACAGGAGCGGAGCTCTGGCAGTAAAGAGCCCAGCCTCCTCCTCCAAACATCCAGGAATTTCCCAAACCAGTTTTGGCAATCATAGGTGCCAGGGACAGGAGTATTCTGGTACAAAGCAGGTGCTCTCCACCTGAGCTGGGAATTACTTATGCCAACCCTGTCCCTCCTACCTTGCTTTGGAAAAATGAGGAAAGGGGCCATGGCTTAGTGGAAGAGCCTCTGCCTGGCATGCAGAAGGTCCCGGGTTCAATCCCCAGCATCTCCAGTTAAAAACGACCAGGCAGTAAGTGATGGGAAAGACCTCAGCCTGAGACCCCGGAGAGCTGCAAAGACGGGCCGTGGCTCAGTGGCAGAGCATCTGCTTGGCATGCAGGCGGTCCCAGGTTCAATCCCCAGCATCTCCAGTTAAAAAGGACCAGGCAGTAGACCTCCGCCTGAGACCCTGGAGAGCTGCAAAGAGGGGCCGTGGCTCAGGGGCAGAGTGTCTGCTTGGCACGCAGAAGGTCCCAGGTTCAATCCCCGGCATCTCCAGTTAAAAAGGACCAGGCAGTAAGTGATGGGAAAGACCTCTGCCTGAGACCATGGAGAGTTGTAAAGAGGGGCCGTGGCTCAGGGGCACAGCATCTGCTTGGCATGCAGAAGGTCCCAGGTTCAATCCCCCGGCACCTCCAGTTGAAAAGGACCAGGCAGGAGGTGATGGGAAAGACCTCCACCTGAGACCTGGGAGAACTGTTGCCTGTCTTAGGCAGTACTGACTTTATTGGGTCTGATTTCATGGCAGTTCTCTGTATTCACATGTCAGCAGTGTGTTGACTTTTCCTGGGCTCTGCTCTAGGATCGACCACTGGAACAACGAGAAGGAGCGTGTCGTGGTCGTCACAGACCTGGCCCTGCTGATCTGCAAATACGACTTCATCATGCTCAAATGCCTCCAGCTGCAGAGGGTCCCCCTGAACGACGTCGACCGCATCTGCCTGGGATCCTTCACCTTTCCGGAGCGGTCCCTGGACAGGTGAGGAACGAGGGCTGGGGGCCAGAATTCCCTGGGGGCAGAGGGCGAGGGCACTTCCTCCCGCTTTGGGTGCATGGCGACTGGAAGGAGCCTCCATGTACAAGGGCAGTATACCTCTCAGCGTTTCTTACTGGGGGGGAATCCTAGGGGAACCCTAAGAACATACCAGTAAGCCAATGTTGGATGACGCCAATGGCCCATCCAGTCCAACACTCTGTGTCACACAGTGGCCAAATATACCAGGTACCAGCAGGAGGTCCAGCAGGGGGGCCAGGACACTAGAAGCCCCCTCCCACTCTTTCCCCCTCCAAAGCACCAAGAAGACAGAGCATCACTTTCCCCAGATGTAAGAACATAACAGAAGCCAGTGTTGGATCCGGCCAATGGCCCACCCAGTCCAACACTCTGTGTCACACAGTGGCCAGAAATACCAGGTGCCCTCAGGAGGTCCAGCAGGGGGGCCAAGACACTAGGAGCCCTCCCACTGTTGCCCCCCCCCAGGCACCAAGAACACAGAGCATCACTGCCCCAGACATAAGAACACAAGAGAAGCCATGTTGGTTCAAGCCAGTGGCCCTTCGAATCCAACACTCTTGTGTCGCACAGTGGCCAAAAATACCACGGGCGCTCAGGAGGTCCACCACTGGGGCCAGAACTCCAGAAGCCCTCCCACCTCCCCCCCCCAGCACCAAGAATACAGAGCATCCCTTGCCCCAGACACAAGAACGTAAGAGAAGCCAATGTTGGATCAGGCCAATGGCCCATCCACTCCAACACTCTTGTGTCACACAAGGGGCCAAAAATACCAGGTGCCCTCAGGAGGCCCAGCAGTGGGGCCAGGACACTAGAAGCCCTCCCACTGTTGTCCCCCCCCCCCAAGTACCAAGAATACAGAGCATCCCTTGCCCCAGACTGAGAGTTCCTATCTATACCTTGTGGCTAAGAGCCACGGATGGACCTCTGCTCCGGATGGTTATCCAGTTCCCTCATGAAGCCATCCATGCTTGTAGCCGCCACCCCCTCCTGTGGCAGTGTTCCATGTGTTCATCCCTCTTCTGGTGAAGAAGGACTTCCTTTTATCCCTTCTAACCTGACTGCTCAGCAATTTCATTGAGTAGCTGTAGATTTTGCGGCTATATGATAGAACTTGAGATATATGTTCTAGATAAGTTATTATGTTTGCCACGAGGATTCCAAGGGTTCCTAGAAAAATTCTACTCTTTTAAGTGCTTTATACTCACAAAGAGAATTTAGTGGGCCTTATGTCTTGTATGTATATCACTGTCCCTTGGGGCTAGTGATTGTGAAACTAACAAGGTGCTGTTTGAATGTCTGACTATAGCGTACACCTGCACCTTGATGTATTATTTTGGTGAGCCTATGTTTGGTAATACATGACACCTTGCAGTTTGAAAGCAAGAAATTGCAAGTAGATAAACAGGTACTGCTTCGGTGGGAAGGGACCAGCGTTCCGTGCGCCTCAGCGTCTAGCCATGCTGGCCACATGACCATGGAAACGTCTTTGGACAGCGCTGGCTCTTTGGCTTGGAAACGGAGATGAGCACCGCACCCCTAGAGTCGGATTCGACTGGCTTTCGAGCAAGGGAACCTTTACCTATAGGAAAATTAAGGAAAGAAAAATAAAAAGCACAACATAGATCTATCTTGAGCATGCATCTATTATACACAGTGTCATGTATTTTTCCATAACTCCCAGCTGGAGGTGTGCCGTCTACCAGGAGGAGCAAAACTTCCCCACAGTGGGGCAGTCTCTCCCTGCCTCCACTCCCAGAGTGTTCTGGGTTGACGGTGATTTCCCTTGCGGTAATTATATACTCCAAGATTTATCACAAGTCTTGCCTTTTTTTGAAAAATAAATAAATTAAAAATCACAATCCCAAGACTAGGTCTTTAAGAAAATAATTACTAAGGAACTTATGAATGGCCGCCTGTGAATGGAGGCTGCAAGTCGAAACAGATCTCACATTCCGATTGTCGGAGAGCTTTCTTGGACTTTCCCTCCAGCCTGTAAACCTTTTTTGTTCTCTTTCTGCGCTGCTGTTTGTTTTGGTCTCCGAAGGCCAGGCCGTGCGCTTTGCTTTCTGCATCCTGTGTTCGAATCCTTTCCCGGGGGGGGGGAGGCAGGCTTTCGTGTTCAAAGTCCTCTTGTTCTTAGGGTGCCAACCTCCAGGAAGGTCTGGAGATCTCCCGGAATGACAACCGGTCTCCAAATTTGGAGGGTGGGCTCTAGGCGGCTTTGGAGGGTAGGTCCTGTGGCATTAGACATTGCCCAGGCCCCTCTCCAAGCCCCGCTCTCTTCAAGCTCCGCCCCCAACCTGGAGTTGGCAAGCCCATTTGTAGCCCTTTGGGCTGCAAGGTAGAACTCACCTCCTTGAACTGTGATGTTCTCTTCACAGGCATGGGGAGAAAAAATTGCGTCCGGGTTTTTTTGGGGGGTAGGGACGCCACAGATTTATTTATTTACACTTACTTACAGGAGCTGCGGTGGCTCAAGTGGTTAAGACACTGAACTGCAGGCTGTGGAAGGTCAGTAGTTCAGCAGTTCGAGACCCGAGTGTGCCGCATGACGGAGTGAGCTCCCCTCTCTAGTTCCAGCTCTTGCCAACCTAGCAGTTCGAAAGCAAGAAATTGCAAGTAGATAAATAGGGACCACTTTGGTGGGAAGGTAGCAGCGTTCCGTGCGCCTTGGTATTTAGTCATGCCGGCCACGTGACCACGGAAACGTCTTCGGACAGCGCTGGCTCTTCGGCTTTGAAATGGAGATGAGCACCGCAACCCTAGAGTCGGATTTGACTGGCTTTCGAGCAAGGGAACCTTTACCTTTACTTTACTTACTGGCAATGCTCCCTCTAAGCTGTGGAGTCTTGTGAGCAAAAAAATCCCACTTTGTGAGCACCTGGCATTAAAGTTGTGAGCAGGTGGTTTGGCTACGGCGTAAGTCAGCTTGCTCTGGAGCCATCCTTCCAGAGCTGAGACAAAAACCCGTGAGCCAGCTCACACGAAATCCGCTTAGAGGGAACACTTATGGATCTCCCAATCCCTGCTGTTCCTAGGGCTGTGGGTGATGTGCAGCATCCATAAAACACAGCCAGATAAAAGCATCGAAACATTAATAACACATGTCCGAAGAAAAGAGATGGTGAATACTAATTAATCCGATTTCAGACTGCTGGCTACTTTGCAGGCGGGGGGAAGAGGGTAAAATAAAGGTAAACAGCAGCAGGAGAGAACGGCTCCGGCCAAAATAGAGAACCCTTGCTGCCCTCGACCAGAAGCCTGGCAGAACATATCTGCCTTACAGGCCCTGCAGAATGGCATAAGGTCCCGCAGGGAACGCCAGATCTAGGGCCTTTTCGGTGGCAGCTCCTGCCTGGTGGAATGAGCTCCCGGAGGAGATCCGGGCCCTGTGGGACCTTGTACTGTTCCGCAGGGCCTGTAAGACGGAGCTCTTCCACCAGGCCTTTGGGTAGGAGCCACCGCCGCCGCCGCTATACCACCACCGCGGTGATACCATCCATTCACCGTACTTTGGGGAGTAGACGTCGCCCGACTGTGCTGTGGAAATATTGCTCCTGGCGCTCTCGCTATCAAGAACATTGGCTGCAAATGTGGGTTGCTGTGGTTTTTTTTTTTGCAAATTCTATGTAGACTTTTGTAGCACCAGATTTTATTATATATGTAATATTGTTTTTATTGTACCCAATTTTTAAACTTGTTGTTAGCCGCCCTGAGCCACCGGGTAGGGCGGGATAAAAATCTCAAAAATAAATAAATAATAAATAAATAATAATGGTATTTGGCAGAGAGTACCACCAGGTTGGAGCCAAGGACGAAAAGGCCCTGCTCGAGGAAAGCCGGATTTCTTGGCAAACGTGTTTGGCAGCTGAACTTACGGTGTTCATCTGTGATGGTCCTATGTGAGCTGACCCAGTCTGTGTGCAGGGTTGGTAACGGAGTTGGGAAATCCCTGGAGGCTCCAGATGGCGTTTGGAGAAGGCAGAGTTGGTGGAGGGGAAGGGAGGTCAGCCTGTGAGGTGGGCCCACAGAGCCCACCCTCCGCAGTAGCCGTTTTCTAAAGGGGAACCCATCTCTGTCGTCTGGAGAGCAGCTGTCCTCCCGGGGGAACTCAAGGCCCCAGCTGGAGGCTTGAAACCCTGTCTGTACCGTTCAGCATGGACTAACTTGAGACGCCTGCTCCTGGGGAGGGAAGCGATGGCGAACCTCAACAGCATGATAAGAAGTAGAGACATCACCCTGCCAACAAAAGTCCGCATGGTCAAAGCAATGGAATACCCAGTAGTCATGTATGGCTGCGAGAGTTGGACCATAAGAAAGGCCGAGCGCAGAAGAATAGATGCTTTTGAACTATGGTGCTGGAGAAGACTCTTGAGAGTCCCTTGGACTGCAAGGAGATCAAATCAGTCAATCCTGAGAGAAATCAACCCGGACTGTTCCCTGGAAGGCCAGATAATGAAACTGAAGCTCAAATACTTTGCCCCCCCAATGAGAAGGGAGCACCCTCTGGAGAAGAAGACCCTGATGCTGGGAAAGACTGAAGGTCAAAGAAGACGGGGACGGCAAAGGATGAGATGGTTAGACAGTGTCATCGATGCAACAAACATGAAATTGAGCCAACTTCAGAGGACGGCGGAAGACAGGAAGGCCTGGCATGATCTGGTCCATGGGGTCGCGAAGAGTCGGACTCGACTGTGCGACTGAACAACAACAAACTTGAGAGAGATTTGCACCAGGTTTTTGAAAAACCATCCGTGCACACAAGCAATGTAAGTAGCCCGCTCTCATAGAATAGAATAGAATAGAATAGAATAGAATAGAATAGAATAGAATAGAATAGAATAGAATAGAATAGAATAGAATAGAATAGAATAGAATAGAATAGAATAGAATAGAATAGAATAGAATAGAATAGAATAGAATAGAATAGAATAGAATAGAATAGAATAGAATAGAATAGAATA